ATCGAGGGCTGTCTAAAATACCTGGAAGAACTTTGAATGCTAAAACAGAGGAGCAAAATTTTTTTTTTTTTTGGTTTTTTTTTTTTCTTTTCAAGGAGTTGGAATAACTGGAGGAACAGAGTTAGTTCTCAGCCTCTTCCTCTTCACTCTCCAGTATTTGGGAGCACATGTACAAACACTGGTTAGCCTGAAATCCTTCCCTGCCAATTAACAGATTTGTTGGAGAGTGAGAATCCTTGTTTTCCAGCCAGTCCTACCAGAAATTAGCTTGATTTCTAATGTACTGGAGTGGCAAAAGAATTCCCTGTAGCTCTTCCCACACACTTTGGACTGGCAGGGGGGCAGGGGGTGTCTGCAAATAGATGGAGAAATTTTTGAAGGCACTTAAGGGATTTAAAAACAAACATATCCATCTTCTAGTAGGATCCATGCATCTAAAGCTTCCTCTGGTTCTTTTAAATCTCTTTCCAGTCCTTCTGCCCAAACAGTACAGATACAACTCCCACTCCACCCACCTTGGACTAAGTTTGCTTTGTTCCCCCCCCAGTCTCTTCTAGAAGCAATTTCTCATTTAAAAAAATAAATTCAGGTTAAATTTCAGTAATGCATTAAATCATGTAAAAAGAATTATTTCTTACTTAGAAAAAAAGCAAAAATAAAGAGTATTTGAAATAAATAAAAATCTTGGTAATAGGCAGGTATGGATCTCTGTTCATCCATGTGCTGCAAAAGTAACTCTGCATAAAGTAAGGGCATAAAATTTGGCATAAATGGCAGGAGTTTGTTGAATCCTGACCACTGAGGTGAGTTTATTCTTCTTGGAATGTCTTATCCACATTAGCAAGTATCCTTACAAGTTCAGAGTCACTTCTAATTTCCTTACGATCAACTCCTCACACTAAAAACCTGCAGAGTTCACTCTGAAGTGACTTTTGTTTTATCCTGATCATCAAGAAAAAAAAAAATTACTTTGTTCCAGCCACTTGTCACTGTGGAAAACCTTGGAAAGCTGGAAGGAGCAGAGGTATAACCAGAATAAACAGCATGGCAAGGCTGTGGACCCACCAACATTTCAATCTCCCTTATTTACAATTTTGAGGTTTTATTTTAGATTTTCTGGACACCCAAAGGAGCCTCAGCATAGGGAAATACAACTCCAACAGCAGACTTCTCACTTTGCTTTTTAAAGCTGATCTTCCAGTAAAACTTTGTCACAGCACCACTTTTCCTGCACTGATGACGGGCTTCCACAAACTAAACTCCTGCACGTATTCCACAAAAAATCTGGAACAGCAAGGGGCTGATTTTCATAATTCCTCCACACTTCTACAGAGACTGTCAGAACCTCCAGTGTTCCCACTAATATATTCTGACGCAATTGCCACCTCTCCTGAGCAAGTGCAGCCCCTGCAAAGAGGCTCTGTGATACATTACCGATATTGGCTCTTCTCTTGATCTCCTTCCTCCTGTTGGCAAACCAATTGTACACTTTGAGGGAGGTGACTCGCTCCAAATCCGACAACTTTTTTCCTAGGAAAGGAACAGAAATAAAAATAAAGACCCTCAGACCTTTGCCCCCCATCCCTGGAAGTGCCCGAGGCCAGGTTGGAGGGGGCCTGGAGCAACCTGGGAGAGTGGAAAGTGTCCCTGCCCATGGCAGGGAATTGGAATGAGATGGGCTTTAATGTCCCTTCCAACTCAAACCATTCTGTGATTCCAAGAGATAAACCCCTGAAACACAGGCAGCACTGAAAAGTTATTGTAACTGAGAATAAAGTGAATTTTATGTGAATCAAAGTCCTGCGTGTCCAGGTGTTATGGCACTAAATGCCAAATATCTCCCTAAAAACAAAAGAGCCTTTCTTTTTTTTCTTTTTAAAATCTGAAATACAGGAATTTCTTTGAAGCTTCAACCAACTAAGTCCAGTGGTGTGGGAGAAGGGAGGGCTGCTTTTCTAGTTCAAGCACAAAACTGAGATTCCAAAACTCAAATTCAACTCACAGCCCTGCCACAAACCCCCTTCCCTTGGGCTCCTTCTCTTACTCTGTGCCACGAGGATACAGTTCAATGACATGTTTTCTTCAGCAGAAAAATGAACTAAGAGATTTTTTTTTTTTTGGCATCCCCCTGCAATCTGCTTTCCTTTCTCTCAACCCCCAGCACTCATCACACCCTCCCAGATGTGCCAGGACACTCGTGATCTTTTGGGAGAATGGGGGGTGGATGCTGGAAACCAGATCACTGGATTTTTACCCTTAAACCAGCAAAAAAATTCCCGACAACCACAAGGGAGTAATGGAAAACTATTCCTTTTCCTGGTCATCAGTATAAAAGAGGGGAGACTGGAGGGGTTCAGCATCACAGTTGGCCTTGTCCCTGTATAAAATACTCCATGTAGCTGCATCAGTGCTCTGCAGGCTCCTTAGGGATGAGGCTCCCCTGCTTCTGAGTCTTTCTCAAAGTTTATTTATTCAGCATACAAAGCACCTGTGTAATTGCAGCAATCTGCACACTAAAGTAAGTTAGGAGAGATGAGACAACTGAAAGAAAGAAAAATCTGGAAACTGATAGCTATGCTGGTGCATCAGCACCACTGACAGTATTTCACTGCTCCTGGGACAGGACTCTGTTTCAGCAGCTTGTTCCAAGCTGCTCCACAAACCAAATCCTAACCTCTTTGGTGCTCTACCCAATAGATCTTTCTGCTCCCACAGCCAAAAGACATAAAAGCTGCAAGAAGGGAATTTTTCAATAGGTATTAGGAAAAAGTACTTTGCCATGAGAGCGCTCAACCTCGTGGAATAGGGGCCAGAGTCAGGAAAACCTCCAGTTTTGGAGATACTGAACTAGGTAAAGCCCTGAACAACCTTATAAGCTGGTCCTGCCTGAGCAGATGACCTCCAGAGGTCACTTCCAGCCTGAACTGGCCTGATTCAGTGCTATCCTGGGACTGTCCCATCTCTCTACAATGACCTGAAAGGATAACGAGGTGGGGATCACTCTCTCCTCCCAGGTAACACGTGATGGGATGGGAGGAAACGTCCTCAAGTTCCACCATGAGAGGTTTAGGTTGGATATTGGGAACTATTTCTTCATCAAAAGGGTTGTCCAGCCCTGGCACAGCTGCCCAGGGCAGGAGTGGAGTCCCCATCCCTGCAGGGATTTCAAAGCCGTGTGGATGTGGCACTTGGGGACACGGGGCAGGGGTGGCCTTGGCAGTGTTGGGGGGATGGTTGGACTGGATGATCTCAGAGAGCTTTTCCATCCTAAATATTTCTGTGGTTTTATGTTCATGACTCAAGCTTTAGCTTTCCGTTCATTAATTTTTATTCTGGTTATATAAAATCTAAATATATCCAAAACACAGGGTCTGACATCTATGTAAATGTTTGGTTAGCAAACCTAAGCAAAGGCAGGTGCCTCCACTAACACCACACTGAATATTCATGCTCCTCTCCCAGTCTGACTTCTCCAGGAACAGGGAAAATGCAGCCTGTTGACCCAAATACAACGTCCTCCATTAATATCCACGTTCTAATCCGAGATCCCTGTCTGGAAACTGTGAAGAAAACTGAAATCCAGGAAAGATGAGCTCCTTTCAAGGACCTGCTCTATCAGGTTGGGCTCGATGATCTTGGGAGGTCTTTTCCAAGTCAATAATTCTATGATTTTATGTATGATCTCCTGCAAACATCAGTCTGAACCCAAGGTGTTGAAATCAAATTGCTTTTTGGGGAGGACACCAGGAGCAGCTCCTCACCTGGTTTCTGGATAACTGCATTACAGGCATTGGCAATTTCTTCTCTCTTTGCCTCGTCTGGATATTGATTCTCATTGAAGTAACTGCAAGGAGGGGAAAAAAAAACAAGTTTTTTTTTCAGAAATCAGAGCGTGAAGGTTCCAAAGCAGCTCCACTAAAAGGTGTCAACTGCTAATTTATACACCAGTCTTAGAGAGGCACCACAGATACAGTAAATTTTATGCATAAGGTAACATCAGCTTGCACTTGCATCCATGTGGAGTGGAGGAAACTTCCCAAATGCCTCAAATAAATTAAGATTATCTCAGCATGTGCAGTGTCACCTCAGCATATGGAGATAAAACAACTTAGACAATTCCATGGGTATCAGATTTAAGACTATCCAGTGAAGCATCATGTCTTAGACACCACAAAGCACGGCTTTTGTTTATTATAATTTTTTTTTTCCCCCTGTCATACCCCAGCTTAGGTAGAAGGATCCACGAATATGGTGAAAATAAATGTTCACCATTTATTTCCATGCCTGGGTTAATATATACACATCCACACATACTTATCAATATGTATGACCCACAAACACACAAATACTGCAATACTTCAGACAGCTACGGTGTGCAGATGGCACAAAATTGACACAGGAAGGTTTCCAGAGTCAGGTTGTGTTTTTTAAAAACCACGATTTAAAATTTTTAGATCTTCCTCAGAACACCACACTGAGTACATACAGCACGTTTCCAATAGTATTTTTTCCCAGAATAATTGTGATTTTATTGTACTTCATGTGCAGTAAACATCCCACAGAAGTTAAAACTGTTTCCTCTTTCACTTCATTTAACTGCTTTACAAATTTTAATGAACTGATTTACATTCTACAGAGCTTATCTGATCTGCACTAAAACCAACAAAACATCCTGTTTACTTCAGTGGACTCTGATAATCACACCATAAGCAGGGACTACCACTGGTTTTTTCCTGTGGGTTATCCATAACACATAATCCTAGGAATTCTTTCATCAGCTTTGATCAGCAGCAGGTTCAGCTGTTGGACAGCTGCTGCAGATTGGAAAATCAGGTATTTCCTTTAATTGTGGATCATTTGGTAGCAGGAGATTCAGGCATATTGAGGCAATTATTATTTTCCATGCTCACATTTCTCCTCCAGTGGATTGGCCCCAGCCCAGTCACTTTCTATGGAAATCTGGATTCTGTTCCACGCAGCAACTGCTTCTGTCCCACTTTCTGAACGCTCAGTTTGGATTTCAGGCACTGCTTCTTCATCCCACTGCTCCCAGGGTTATTTACACTCCCAGCTATCCCCACAAACAGGGGCCTATTCCAAAGTTGCTACTCAGTGAGAACGAGAAATCCCACATTAGCCCAGTGAGTTGCTGCATTAATGTCATTCCAGGGGATTTGCTGGCTTAGGGAGCAAATGGAACCACAGGAATAGCTTCACCTTCTCTAAATGAAGGGCAGGTAATGTCCATGTGACTTACATGGGCCTTGGAGGCAACACATTTCCACAGGAACACCCACTGCTCCTTCCCTGCACCTCTGAGCTGCTCTTGGGAAGGGAATTTGGAGGCACAGGTTGCCCAGAGAAGTTGTGGCTGCTCCTGGATCCCTGGAAGTGTCCAAGGCCAGGTCAGATGGGCTTGGAGCAACCTGGGATAGTACAAGGTGTCAGAGTTGGAACTGGATAAGCTTAAGGTCCCCTCCAACCCAAACCATTCTGGGATTCTGTGATAAAGGACAACTGGAATCCATTTAGAGGGATTTTTATGGAAGCTGGGGATGTGAGTCAGAGTGAACCCCCTTGTTTCCTAAACTCCTTCTCAGAGAGGAGTTGGATGAGGCTGGATCCAGTCTTAGGCTCTGGATCCAAGCTGGGAGATCTGGGGGTGTTCAACTGGAGAAGAGAAAGACCCAGGGAGACCTTCCAGCACCTTTCAGTGCCTAAAAAGGGGCTTCAGGAGAGCTGCAGAGGGACTTGGGACAAGGGATGGAGGGACAGGACACAGGGAATGGCTTCCCACTGCCAGAGGGCAGGGAGAGATGGGAGATTAGGAAGGAATTGTTGGCTGTGAGGGTGGAGAGGCCCTGGCACAGGTGACCCAGAGAAGCTGTGGCTGCCCCATCCTTGGAAGTGTCCAAGGCCAGGTTTGCTCTAAGGATTGGGAGCTTGATGAAGTTGTAAGAGTTGAGAGCTTGTCAGCCAGCACTTCTGAGACCTGGAGTTTGTTGTGGGAGTTGGGAGTTTGTTGAAGTTATTGTTATTTGTAAAGTTATTTGTAAAGTTTGAGAACTTGCCAGCCAATGCTTCTACTATTGCAGAGTGGGATAGTGGCTGGAATTAAGGTGACTATCTAACAAAAGGATGAGTTCCCTGACACATGGACCGGTGTCTTTGTTCGACCAGATGAGAACTTGTAACAAACATCACACCCTCTGGATATGGTCATTTTTTAAACTACATTCTCCCCTCTTCCATATCCATCATCCTTCCCTGATTTCAGCCTTTGAAGTGATGTGTGGGTCTATCTGAAAGTGCAAATTTCTGTTCAAAGGGGTTGTGTTCTGCGCAAAGGTGCATTTTTTGGAGAATGAAGAACTTGGAAAACAGAATAGAAAATGCTTTTTGCAGTAGTTAGTGATGGAACAGAAGCTCAGGATCCCAGTTCAACTGTCTCATGACAGAATCTCAGCTCTCACACCTACAGAGCACTCTACTCTCTGTTCAGAGCCAAGAATTATTTCCTCTTGGAAGTGCTGTGGGATAAAGGAACATTAAGACATCACAGCTGAAAACTGCTGTACTATTATTTACGTGAGTATATTGTATGACTTTGACTCCTAATCAGGAATCCAGGTCAACACCATGTGTACAAAAATCAACTCAGCCCATTCTGGGAGCCAGAACAGCAGTTTTATGGACTCCCTTTGCTGAACGGAGAAGCTGTGGAGTCTCCTTCTCTGGAGATGTTCAAACCCCACCTGGACATGATCCTGTGCAAACTGTTCTACTGAACCTGCTTTAGCAGGGAAACTGGACCAGATGATTCCAGGGGTCCTTTCCAACCCCAACCATTCTGTGAACGTTAGTTATTTTACTTAGAGGTACCTGTCAAAAGCCAAGAGCAAACACCACAAAGGAAACCCCATAAAATCAGAAAACATGATGGATCTACACAAAGATGCCCTAAAAACAGAAGGTGAAGCCCTGATATCATCTGATATTATGGCTCGAGATCATCTGTGGTCACAAAGCTGCTGGACAGTACCTAATATTTATGGGAAAAAAATTAAAAAATACATAAAATTAAGAATCAGTTTGTACTTGAACTGCCCTTTCTTGTGTTGATGCAAGAACGTGAGACATCAATTAACACAGCAAAGACAACACAAGAGCCAAGAGTGATCCTTCTCTTGGCACTATAACTCAACACCACCCCTTTTGCAAGCCACAGCCAGGCTTTCCCTGGCTCCAGCAAAGGTTTTCCAACCACAACAAAACTCAGGCTCACACTCACATTTCTCTGGGACAACAGGAAATCTCCCTGTGATGGATCTAACTTCCAGAACTGGGCATTGAACGAGGCACCTCTGCTGGCAAACGAGGAAGTTTTGTGCAGTCCAATCATTTTTTTTGATTTAGAAACCGCTGAAAACAGTAATTCTTACCTCTAAACATTTTACAACTGAAGCAAAACTTATTTGATTAGATCAAGACGTATTTTTTGGTATTCTGAAACATGTTCTTCAAATTCTAACACAAATTTCTTAACTAAACGTTTTTAAAAGGAAAAATGATTCCCACCTGAAAATCTTAATTTTTTTTTCATCCTAAATCCCTGTTCTAAAAAAAAAATTTGAGAGGTTTTCAGGCAGCTCCTGTGGCCAGTAAGGTGTTTTCACAGAGATCACAAACCCAAGTGGGTACCAGAACGGAGCTGGAAAGGCACCTTCCAGACTGGTTTGGGTGGGAAGGGACCTTAAAGATCATCCCATTCCACCCCCTGCCATGGGCAGGGACACCTTCCACTAGCCCAGGTTGCTCCAAGCCCCAGTCAACCTGGCCTTGGACACTTCCAGGGATGGGGCAGCCACAGCTTCTCTGGGAAATCTGTGCCAGGGCCTCCCCACCCTCCCAGGGAAGAACCTCTTCCTAACCTAACCTAAATTATTAAGGCTATAATATTTTTCTCCATGACCATATTGTGCTTTTAACCTCTGATGTGGTGCAAGCTGCTTTACCAGAGATCACACTCAGGAGCTCCTACTCTTAAAGGAAAAGGTCTCACAGCTACAGGTAACCAAAAACATACAACCCTCAGCCCCAATTGCTGATCTGCAGCCTCAGCCCCCAAATTCTCTGCACACCCACCTACCAAAGCATCCCAGTTCATTCCCATCCCTTCCAGGTCTTAATGGGTCTTGTGGGTGATCCACCAGGAAACAAAGTACAACACTTAAAACCTCTCAACATGTGGCACTTGAGGGCATGGTTTAGTGAGGAACATGATGCTGGGCTGATGGTGAGACTTGATCTTAAAGGTCTTTTCCAGCCTTAGCAATTCTATGGTTCTATGATCCTACAGTTTCTGGAAAGTAGGAGAGAATAACTGAGTTTTCAAGATAGAAAAGTCCTGGAAAAAAAAATTCAAGACTTCATCACTGACTATTCTGTTTGCTCATTTAGAGGTTGTGAAAATATTGTGATTTTTTTGACTACAGTTCTTCTTGCAAGCAGTAAATTAATTAATCTGCCTCCACTCCTCTTTCTTATCAGCCAGGTAGACAGGGGAAGAATGCAGGATGTCTGAATTTCTCTTCACAGCTACAAACCTCAGCCTGCTCACAGTCTGAAAAGTTCCTGAAAGCTACAGATGAAAAATTTGAAGAGATATGAACTTAAAAGGAAGGGGAAAAAAGAGCAGGCACAAGTAACTCTGCAAAGGCACACTGCTTTCTAGACAAAGGGCAGCTGTCAGCTGAATACCTTCCATGAAGAAACCAAATGATCTCTTTTGTAGAAAATGACAGTGGAGGATTAAAATGAAAAGTGGCCAAATAATTTACATGA